TGCATCTACAACACTTGCACACACAACATATAGTTTGCATTTTGGTTCTACCTATGTTCATATATAGCTAAAATCTATGGAGCTTTAGCTAGTTGTTTTTTATGAGGAAGGGATTTAATGAGAATTGATCCCAAAGCAGAGGAGAGAACTCTTTTTGGGTATAAATGGAAGTGAATTGATAGGTTATATAAGAGATAAAGAGAGATTTTTAAGGGAGGATTAGAGGTTTTTTGAGGAAAAAAAAATAAGGATCTCGTTAGGTTTTGAAAAAAAAAACAGATTTTAGGCTTTTATTTGACAAAAATATTCTAGGTTTTCTAGGTTTCATAAGGAAGGCTATTGGGTTTATAAGGCTTGATTCTAGGTTTTTGAAGGAGGAAATCTTCACCAATCACCTCTCCGTAAACCACCCATACCCAATCGCATCATCCATACATGGACTAGGTAATTCTTCATCCCTCTTAAGCAATTTGTCTTTGTCTTCAATTACTAAGATTCCACTCCTAAACTAGTTCAAAAATGAACGATGATAATGACTTCATCGGTATCATCATACAACCTCCCATTGACCTATTTCCCTTTATGTATTTGAGTTTATGCAGTGAAGAAGATGAAACGTTTGAGGGTTTGAGATGGTTTAGTTTAGCAAGAGAGAGCTCGTTGATTTTAGATTTAGCATGAAGGAGGATGGGTTGAGGAAGAAAATAAGGCTTAAGGTTCTAGTTTGAAGATGAAGGAGAGGAGATTAAGGCACTTTGATGGTTTTAGTTTGGATTAAGAATACAAAAAGACCGGGTTGGGTCTAGCTAGCTTGTGAGGAGGAGCGTGAGACTCGGGCATGGTCTAGCTCTAGTGAAAAGAAATAGGGTTGGGCCTAGCCTAACTCGAGATAAAAAGAAGAGAGAGTTAGGCTATTTGGCACCAAACTAAGGCTTAGCCTAGTCCGAACGAGCTTGGCCCAAAGGGCCTACTTAGTAGGCTTAGCTCGGCTCGAGTGGGCTTGGCCCAATAGGCTAAAAGCCTACTCGGACCCAAAGGTGTAATAACCTCAATTTTCCTTTTTTGTTTTTATTTTTAGCCATTCCCCTATAAAAATTAGACTTGAAATTTTTATGCATGCTTCACGTGTCCTTTTCTAGATTAGATTTATTATTATTTTTTTTAGAATTTTAAAGTCGATTTTGTTCTATTTATTTTAGTTTATTTAATTTCGTGTCCGGTAATTAATTTCTATTATTGTTTAAATTTTAATTTATTCTATTATTTAATATTAATTAAATCTAAAATTGTGTGGGTAATTTTAAACTCATATGTATGCTTTGGGATTTAATCCTTTAAATTTTTGGTAATTTAGTTTCATATTTACTTAATGTTGAATATTATTTACATGAGTATTAGTTTAATTAGGTAATTAATAGGTAGATAAATCGTCAAAGCTTCTACTTTTTAAAGATTGATGATAATTCTTTGTCGATCTTGGAAAATATAAAAAAATAAAAATGAAAAGAAAGATGATAAAAAGAGATATAAAAAAATTAAAAAAAAATGAAAAACAAAAATATGCATAAAAAACTAGGATAATTTTAACAAGTTCATATTTGATAGGAACTGATTTTATCACTCAATCCAAACCCACACCTTAGTAATTGGGTCATTCTTTGACGTATCGATTATATCGTGACTTAAACCGAATTCGATGTTGAATTGACAATACTCCCGACGACAAGTTTCGACCATCGATTTAATATGATGCTACAAAATAATAATAATAATTTGGCTTATAAAATAAAAATTGGAAGTTGAATAAAAAATAATTTGGCAAAATTAGAAATGTTTAGGAGATAAACTTTTAGGATTAAACCGGACATGATATCTTTTTTTGAAAAGGATGCCTTTATGTGATTGATATCTTATTAAATATATAACCAACTCTTTATTTTAGAATCTCTAAACCAATGTTTTTTTTAGGTTTTCTAGTTCCCTTTAATACTAAGTGGCAACCCCAAAATGTGATTTAACTCACATCCCTAGTAAATTAATATAAATAAAAAAATTTAATAAAATATTTTGAAAGTTCTCTAAATGTCGGGTAGCGATATCTTTCTTTTCTTCTTCTTCCTTTCCTTATTTTAAGGAACTATGAACTCGGACTTGGAACAACCAAGTCATAAAATTCTAACATGCGAGATACATTTGGATAGCACGGGAAGACCTTTAACGACCTTAGAAATGATTAATTGGAAATAATGAAGAAAAATGGATGTTGGGGAGCAATACTTGTTTTGTCAAGAATAGGGAGAAATTAACTTTTGAAATAATGCATAATGAAGTGTCTTGATGAATTGACATGAGTTTATAAATCAAATGAAAATAGGTACAGGTTTGAATCACTTGGAAAAAGAGTGAATGCTGGGAAATTCCTTTCCGGTGACTTAAGAAAGAACACTAGTTTGGGAGAACGAATGGGGACCTTGATAGTGATGATTGAAGAAACTATAGACTTGGGGAGAACCTTTGTGAACCCAAACTTATGGTGTGTATGCTTGAAACAAGAGACTAGAAAAACCCATGAAGAAATTCAAACCAGAATGCTTTTTCGAAGCCTAAAAAATTGAAAAAAGCGCCAAACCGAATTCCTAAAATCCTCCTCTAACCGGACACAAGGTCGCTCAATTTATAATTGAATTTGAATGATTTTCTATTCTAAGATCATTTTTAATCAATCTAAATCCTTTCCCACTAAAAATCAAACCCAAGCATGTTTGTCCTTGATTTACCATTTATGGAAAAAACAAGAAATTGAAAACCAATTCTCGGTCTATGTGTGCGGGGTTGTATAGAGGTGAATACGGAGTTGTACAAGTGTGAAATGTGATTCTTTGCTGGTACAATTGATAGTCAAGGATCACAACAAGGGAATTGGATAGTTTTATCTTCAAAGAAAATGATGAATAGTACTCGAGGATTGGTTTTGGGTTGTAGCGAACGATAGATCATTTGACCCATTTTGGTCCTATCATTTGCTCCTCAATTTCAATTTGATCCCCGAGTGTTTCAATTTCCTACAATTACACTCTTGATTTTTATTTCAATTGTGCCCATATTGGCTTTTAATTTCAGCCATGATTTCATTTAATTGCACTTTTATTTCATTCAATTTCATCCCTAATTGACTTTTAATTTTAAATCTCATCATTTCAATTTCGAGTCCTTATTGCCTTCAATTGTACCTCTAATTAATTATGTCATGTAAATTTTTTTATGGTTTTTTTGTGTTTATATTTTGTTTGTATTTTCATTTTCCTTTTTTTTTTTGTAATTATGCAATATTTTTTTTTTACAAAAATAAAAGACAATCCCTAAAATTTAAACATAAAGCCCGTAATGGTAAAATTGATCAAAATAAATATGAAAATTAAATTAAATTAAAAGCAAATAAAGTTAAAATAAATAAAATACCAAAAAAATAAAAATAAAAATACCAAAAAAAATAGAAAATAAATATAACCCAAAATTTGGGTTATGTTATTAATATATTTTATTATACTTGTAGTGATTAAAATATATTTATATTCGAGCATATATGAAATATAGTAACCATAAAGTTTCTACAAAAATCATATGATAAATTTGATGGAGCTCCAAATTCGATCCGAGTATGTTATGATTCGGATCCAATTTTACATTCTCAAAACTTGATCCAAATTTATAAGACTCAATTTGATCCAATCCATTTTTCTAAACAAATCAAATCTAGATTTATTATGATCCAATTCGAGTCCGACCATTTGATAGTCCTACAAATATGTAAAACAAAACAAATCCTAAAAATAAGTAAATTACCTAATAAACATGAAAGAAAACTAAAAACCATCTAATTAATGTATAAGCACACAAATATGAGATAATTGAAGAGAAATGAGGTTAAGAAGAACACGATCAACTAAGGAATCTAGAAGGAAAAAAACTCTAGATAAAGGAAAAAAGATTACAATAGCATTTAATTAAAGTTGGTCATAAAGTTTTAGTTGGAGTAACAAGTGGTTTATTCTTTATTTCAGGGTCTCATTTCGGAATCTAAAAAGATTTGGTTTATTCTTTATTTCATGGTCTCATTTTGGAATCTAAAAAGATTTGTACGAAATAAATTTTCCATAAATACATTGGTTTAGTGTGAATGTGTAAAGTGGATCTTAGATGGTAATTGTTTACTTTTAAATCGTATATATGAAATAAGAAATAAAATTTATTTTGTGTGTGTCTAGAAATATTTAATTTTGAATATAAAAAAGAAAGAAAATTTGAAATCAACTATTCAACTGTGAATAGATTTCGAGATGTGGGGACTGAATATAATGATTTAAACAATACAAGGACTGAAAAGCATGACACAATAACCATCCTAGAGGAGACACATTTACCGTTCTATGTAACTCCATAACTAAACAGACAATACCTACTTTGAAAACAAAAAAAAAAAAGTCTAAACTGCAAGAAATCAGATTCCAGAATTTTTAATTTTGTAAGCTTGACCTAGTTTGTAATTGGGTATACTTTTCACATTGTCATCTGCGATATGAATTCTAGAAGAGTCTGTAAGAAAATATTTTTTTGTGAATCCACAAGTTTATACGTGAATGACTTATTTAAAATCTGATCAATTAAGAAAATACTTAATTTTGAGACTAGAAAGCAAATCTGATAATATCTTTATCATTAAAAAAGTTATATTTTTTAAAAAATAATAATAAATCAATATTAAAATCGGAGTAATTTACTAGTAGATAATATGATTTCAAAGCCTAATAGTTCATTGATCAAACTGTATTCGAATAGCTTCTATTTTTTTTTCTAATGAAGGTTAACTTTTTTTTTTTTATATGAATTTAATCTTAACACATAAGCTAATTAGGGATATGATCTATTTTCCATATGTAAAAGAATATTGGTATTGCTAATACCAAAAATCTTTTGCTCCTTGAAAAAAAAAAAAAAGAGAGATGGAAGAGTACGTTATTATTTAGTTAACGAGTTATTCGAGTGATTATAACTTAGTCCTTCATATATGAGAATTTTTTTTTTTTAATGTTTCTACCATTGATTTTTGTCTCATTAAGATATTTGTTAGTTTTTTTTCTTAATTTTAATGCTTCCTTTAACCCCTCTCCATCTTCTAATCTTTTTCTTTTCTAACTCATATAATAACCTAACAAAATTCGCTTTAACATTTGAACAGTGTGTCCATTTAAATTTTGATTCAAAACTATTTTCTATAAATTCATCAATATTGGTAAAAAGTTATGTTTACTAGTTATTATAATATTGTAAATCTCCAAAACCAATATTCACAAAACAAATCAAGAGAGAAGAAATGACGAGAGAAATACGTTAATAATGATAAAAAATTAAATAAGAGGAACAAATTCCCTTTGGGGTTATGAATTAAACACTAAGTGGTGCAAAAGATAAAAAATTAGAAAGAATGTTGGCTAGCTACCACAAAGTGAGAGAAAAAAGAAGAAAATATTTTTTTAATGACATAAAAACTTGTATTAATAAAAAGATGATAAATACATCATAGTTATTACAACATAATCACAAGAAATCAATGCAAACATAATACAAGTACTCATAAACAGAACATCTAAATTACAACAAAGAAAAAAAAATAATAAGACACTAGTATGGATATGACACCACATATTAAGAAGGTGAAAATGTCCAAATTAAGTTAATAATGTGCTATATAGACCATAATCGTACACTCTAAAATCCAAAAGAGTCGTGGGTTATATAGAAGTGATTTGAACGTTAAGTTAAATAACAAAAATTCTAAAAAAGTACCTTAACTAAAATTTGAACTTAAAAGGTCTAAGAAAATATATTAGGCCTAGAGAAAGATTAATTTGAAATCCGAGTAGATAGAGCCAAAAAGAAAAGAGAGAGAAAAAAAAAATCAAAATGGCAGAAATTATCTACTTAGAAAGATATAAGAAAAATATAGTAAAAGAATAAATTAAAGAAGGAATTTAGGAAGAGTGGGGCCTTGTTGTTTTTCATAGATCTAACCAATGATAGTTCTAAATTTAATTTGAGAGAGGGAGAGATTATAGGTAGAGAAGAAGAGGATACGATTGGTTGGTGATGTATGTGAGATTGAAGCATTATTATAAAGAATTTAAGGAATTTTTTAGAAAACAAACTCTTCTAACTATACTGATATCCTAATTAAATACATTCATTATCTAGCTGTCACTTTTCTCTAAGGTTGCTTTTCTCGTACACTCGGACAACGCAACATAGTAGCCCACAAACTAGAAAAGTAATTTACTTAATAACAATTCCAAGAGGCACCCATCAGACGTGCATGCATGGAAAAATGAAAGAAACGAGGGAAAGAAAGAAATACGGATGCGAGCAGGGAGTGAAAAGGGACCCAGTCAATGAAAGAAAAGCCGCGTCCGAATACAACGTAGATGCGGATCCTCTATCACCACTCCCTCTTTCCTTAAACAATTAAATAAAACAAAAACCTTACCATTGACAGTTACGCTTTTCTCCCCCTCACATAAATTTTAGTGCTAAAACCATAAAACCATCTGTACTTGTTCTTGTGTATGGGGTCCCACGTAACCTACACCAATCTAATAAAAAAAAAAAAAAACCTTCCTTTTGATAAGCTTTTAAAAATACTATCTAACACGTTGATCGTATCTAGAAATGTTGATGACGATATGTAAAGTAATGGTACAGTTGACATGGAAGTTATGAATATCAAGTATTATAATTTAATGAATATAGCTTTATTATCTATAAATAACGACTATAATTTGATTTATTTTATAGAATCAGCATTCTATGAATAATACATTGTATTTCTGATATATAGTAGTGTTTTGTCTGGAAAAAGAAAAATATTTACTCAATAATGGAAACCTTTAAAAAAGCAAAAAAAGAAAGAAAAATAGTGGCAACCAGAGACAAATAGGTTGTTGGGGTGGGTGGTGGGAGGGGGGTAGCTAGAGAGAGAAGGAAAAAAGAAAGAAGAGAGAGAAAGTTAAAAAAAAAAAAAAAACTGGGAAAGACAGAAAAAACAAAAACAAAGAGAATTTGTGAGATAAACACCAAAAAGATGGTGGAGGAGATCCTCTAAGATCATCTTGCAAAGGGCAGTAATAGAAGAAAATTATTAATTTTTTTATGTTACTCTAGCAAACCAAAAAAAAATTTTTAAAAATCCTAATATCATTTTTTAATTATTTTTTTCTTTGCTGCCTCTTTTTTTTTTTTTTTTTTTTTTGTTTCTGTTTGAGTCTCTCCTTCTATCCACCATAGCCCCCACCACCACCCCTTCGTTGCATTTCTTTCTCTTGAAGGATTTTGGTATCAAAAGTGCAAAATTGCCCTTAACAACAACAACAACACTAAAGCACCCTTTTGACCCTTATTTATGGTAATTTCAATGACCCTTTTGCTTTTTCCTTTTTCTTTTGGATTGCTTGTACTTGAGGGTATTCCTTGATTCTTCATTATTTGCTAAACATTCTCATTTGTTTTAGTGCCATTCTATTAACTTTTGTGTCATTTTTTTTTTTTGTATTGTTGTCTCATTTGCAGCTCCATTTTATTGGTGTGGAGATTCAGAGAGGAAGATTATAGCCTGCTAAGCCAGGTTATGCAGATTTTCGAGAAAAGGGTGTAGAGAATTTTTTTTAAAATAAAAAGATGAGGGACCCTGACATGATCAAATGTGAAGGCTTTTCTATTTTTTGTAGCATAGTTGTTGATAGTTGTTTTTAAATCAAAGATTTTGCATTAGTTGTTGCTGTTGTTAGTTGAAAGGGGTGGTTTTGTATAGGAAACCTGGCGATTATTGTTGCTACCTCCACTGCCAAATTTGGTTCATCAAGCAATGGGGGTTAGATGGAACTCAATTCGATTCCAATTTTTGTTCTTTTTGGTTTTGACTTTTGGTCTTGAAAATCAATGCTTCTGGTCACTTAATGATGAGGGTAATTCTTGTTTTATGCATTCTTGATTTTTTATTGACATGTTTATCTTAAAATATAATTGTAGAATTAACCTTGATTTTGATATATGAATGTAATGTGGGGTGCAAAATGCAGGATTGATTTTGTTGGAATTTCAAGCACGAGTGAATTCTGATCCTTTTGGTGCTCTCGCAAATTGGAATCCCAATGACATTGATCCTTGCGTATGGTCTGGTGTTCGTTGTGATGCAGGAAAAGTGCAAATGCTGTAAGTGGCTGTTCATGCTTCCTTTAAGAAAGAGTTAATAGACATCATTCGAAATAAGAAAATCGACATTTCTCCTTTTATATAATTTGTTTTATTTGTAATCTTACCTATGGAGGGTTATGCTGTGGGGAATTTTGTAGATGACTTGGGTTAGCTTTAATTTGTTATTAGAATTGTGTGATACTGAATAGTGTTTTCCGTTGCATTTTAGAGGTATTATTACATACCATTTTATGTCGATGCTGAATGATCAAACATATTAATGTTATTTAGTGCGCTTATAGGGATCTGAGCGGACTTTCGTTGGAAGGCACATTGGCGCCGGAGCTTGGCAAACTTGTTAACTTAAGATCTCTGTAAGGGTTCATGATTCTGCTATGTTTTCTTTGATGGAACTTGGGGTTTAGGAATTAGGCATTTGATTTCGATATGTGAATGAGCTGAAACGAATACTGCAGTTAGCCAATTTCTGCTAATCGAATATGAATTTGGCCAAAATGAATTGGGACTCTTTGGATTTTAGTGTTGATAAGCTTTTTTATATATATATATATTCTCAAACATAGTATTTATAGTGAATACATTAGGCTTAATATCTTTCTCAAACATAGAAATAAACTTGTTAAGTTTAGTTTGTTGTTATAAAGATCTATATATATTTATTAGGAAAACTTTATCTCTGATCTTGATGCATAGCTTTATAACTTCTATTGGATTCAAAAATTAATTGAACTTTTTTATTCTTTCTTTACTTTCATGGCAGTGTGCTGTATCAAAACCATTTCACTGGTGCCATTCCAAAAGAGATTGGAGAGCTCAGCAAGCTGGAGTTGCTGGATCTGAGGAATAATAATTTCAGTGGAGCAATTCCAGAAGAAATAGGAAGATTACTATCATTAAAATACTTGTGCGTGAGCTGTCCTTCGTTTTAATTATTTTGATGGTTTAAGTTAAGTAGTTAAATGGACTAATTAAGTTGATTTCTGTCTTAGGTTGCTAAGAGACAATAAATTTGAGGGAAGCATTCCTCTGGAGATCAGGAGGCTTAACCTGCTTTCTGATTTTCAATTTGATGGAAACCTTGCATCTACTGCTGCTATTGGAGTTAGCTGTGTCAATAGAAAACTTGGACATGAGTAAGTGACTTTTTCTATCCTTTCTCATCAAAGCACATCCGTTGGTATAATAGGTTCTACTCATGGTGAATAGATTGTCAATCATACCTAAATTGAATTATAGTCTCGGTGTTTACTATGAATCGTTATAACTACAGTGAAGCATCTTTAACTCACGGATTAATAGTTGCAGGTCCCTCTATTTTTCTTTCTTTATCGTCTCTTTATTTTTTTCCTTTTAAGTTCGTCATTTTGTTGACAGTATTAAATCACACTGTTAGTCTCACAAAATTACAGCACATGTCAATTTTTTTTTTTTTTTTGCCTTAATTTCGTTTTTCTACTACATTTTTTAACCAAAAAAAAAAAAAACTGAAATAAAAAAGATGAAGATAAAAATGTTTTTTTTTTATATATATATATAGGTTTAAATTTAGCTTTATGATAGTATGGAAAATTTGAATATAATATAAAGTATTTATAGTTTTTTTTTTAAATGTCAAGAAAATTTTTAGTTAAATTTTTAAATTTTAAATGGTATTTATAGTCACAATGTCAGGAGAGGTCTTAGATAAAACCAATACTATAAATACAATCATTTAAAAGTTAAAAATTTTAACTAAAATTTTCTTGACATTTTAAAAAAATAATATAAATATTTTATTTTACAATCAAAATTTTCTCATTATTATACATATAAATTTAAACTCATAAAGGATATTTTGAATAAAAATAAATATTTTTATCTTTACTTTTATCTTTATTTTTTCGCTAAAAACAAAGTAGATGGATAAGATTAAAATGGAAGAAAAGGTTAACATATGTCGCAATTATGTAAAGCTAACCTTGTTATTTAACACTATTAGCCTAAATTAAAGAAAGAAGGAATTTAAAACAAGAACCAAAAGTAAAAATATAAATTTAAGAAAAATAAATAAATAAATAAACAATATGAAAACAAAGAAAAATTAAAAAAATTCACAGCAACCATTAACACTTTAATTCACCATTAAATATGGAGAGAAAGAAATCTATTAGTTACACCTGATTAAGACCTCTCCACATGGTCGTCGGTTTTTCCATCAATTTAAAACACAAAAGTTTCTTGCTTTTTCTGTTGTTTGGACCATGCCTCTCACATAAATACCACATTAAAGCAATCTGACACGATAAATTTAGCATGAGATGATTATGGACTTCTTCGAACGTGTAGTTAAATCACTATGATACATACCCATTTTTGCCAACATAAAATAGTTTGTCCTTCTCTCCTGTGTCTTGCCTTAGACCACTAACATTAATTTAGAAGAGATAGCGATGGACATACCTTTTCTATTTGATTTTTTCTAGCCGATCATCAAGTATCATTTGTGAATGAAAGTTTTTGAAGTTGAAGAGGTTCAGTTTAGTAATTTGATTTGCTGATCTAAAATGTATGTCTTGCGCAGCATGTGGTGGAGCAGCTTGAAGCAATTAAATGGGGCGAATTCCTTGATATTCCCTTTTAAAGGAGCTTTTATACATTACCTGAATTCCTTGACACTGCAATTGTATGGAATTTAATATGCTTTAAATGCATACACACAAGCTCACACACACGTATAATTTTTGTGTATATGGATGCTGATAGCGACGAAGATATCCTACTTTTGACATGTTTGCGTTCTAGTAGTGGTGGTTTGCGTGTTCTGTCTACTGATTGCTTACCCTATTTACAAGGTTCAAGCTTGGGAAGGATACTTTACATGGTAGCGGAGAAAATTGCTTGGTTAAGCCAGACAGTGAGTAAAAAATATTCACCAACCTTGGTTTGCTTAAAATTTATACTTGTGAGGCAAATCTGATACGTTTTGTACTAAGCAGGATCATCAGAGCATAATGTAGAGATCCTTGTCAATTTTGCACGTCGTAGACTACTTGAGCAGTCTAGTAACCTCCAAGCTGAACCTGCTAGTGGTGGATCTTCCTCTCAACAAATTATTGCTCTTCCAACCACAAGAAGTAGTGGGGCTTTCTCTGCAATACCAAATGCAAAGAAGCATCAAGCTCAGTCTCCTGTACTACTAGATTCACCTGTTAATCCTCCATCTACAGGGACCAAGGGATCAAGAACTGAAAAGCCATCTAAAGAACAACCTCCTGGCAATGGAACTTCAGGAAATACTTGGATGTATTTCCTAATTATTCCAATTGTGGGTGTCTTGGTCATTGTTGTAGCAGGCTTACTGTTTGTGTTCCGGAAACAAGGAGTGACAACTATAGGTCCTTGGAAGACTGGTCTAAGTGGACAGTTGCAGAAAGCATTTGTTACAGGTGACCTCTAGCGTGTAGAAAAAAAAAAAAAAAAAAAAAAACTGAAAAATGAGGGGAAAAAAAAAACTGTTGACTTTATTATTAATCAGCAGGCTGATTAGGCTATAGACTCTTTATTTATCAACATGATTAACAACTTAAGTTGTGTGGATTTTTGTCTCATCCATATCAATGTTACCTTAGGATTGAACCGTGTATAGATGCATGATGAATAAGAGGTCTAGTATATTTAAGTTCTGCAACAAGTAAGAGCCTTTGCTTTGGGCCTTTACTTTGGGAGGCATACCTAGGAATGTTGAGACTCATTTTATGTGAATGTGAATTTATTCACAAACATGGTTGGTCTTGCATTAAGTTTCACCGAGCTTGATTATATTTATACATGAGTTGCCTTTGGTAGATTAGTGTCGAGGTCCAGTCCAGTCTTAAAGCATTATCGTTTATTCCATGGTCTTGTATGTGTTTAATTTATTAAAAACTTAAGCAGCTGGTTATCTGAAATATAGGGGTTCCAAAGTTAAATCGATCAGAGTTGGAAACTGCCTGTGAGGATTTCAGCAATATCGTTGATACTTTTGATGGTTTCATTGCGTACAAGGGAACACTGTCTAGTGGAGTTGAGATTTCTGTTACATCAACTGCAGTGGCCTCTTCGAAAGACTGGTCAAAGAATGCAGAGATGGCATACAGAAAAAAGGTTTGCCTTTTTCTGATTACTAATTTGAAATTTGACATACAGTATACATTGATTCTATTATGCAAATCTCTTTTCTTTTTTTTTTCCCTTACTAAAATTTAATCGTATAAATCTTTTGGTCCATTGTAGATTGATACATTATCACGGATTAATCATAAGAATTTTGTAAATCTTATTGGCTACTGTGAGGAGGATGAACCGTTCAATAGGATGATGGTCTTTGAATATGCTCCAAATGGAAGTCTCTTTGAGCATCTGCATGGTAAGTCTCTTAATCAACTTTTATGGTGGAGATTTGGTAAATGTTGCTGGTGTAATGTTGGATTGGTCTGAGAGTCTCTCTCTCATTTTTTTTTTTTTTTTCAGTTAAAGAAATGGAACATCTTGACTGGAGTACAAGGATGAGGATTATAATGGGAGTTGCTTATTGCCTGCAATATATGCACCATGATCTGAATCCGCCTATAGCACATTCTAAGCTGTGTTCAAGCACAATCTTCTTAACAGATGACTACGCTGCTAAGGTAAATCCTTTCCTCTGTTATGGATTAACTTCATCTTTTCTTTTCATTTTTTCTTAATTTAAACTCACTGTCTCTATTATGCTTTCTCAGATTGCAGAGGTCTCTTTCTTGCCTCAAGCTACTCCAAAGTCAAAGGTCTCAGGTGAATTGGAGAATTCACTGCCACCCCATGTTGATCCAGAAACAAACATCTATCTTTTTGGGGTTTTGTTGCTCGAAATCATTTCCGGGAAGCTCCCATACTCGGAAGAACAAGGGCCTCTTGAAAAATGGGTAAGTTATGTATGAAATCTCATAACCTGATTACTGGTTTTGCTTTAACTAAAGGCTAAATATTTGTTCTATCTACATGCTGGATGGTTTCTGTCTCTGATAACCATATAATTTTAAACTTGTAGGCTGCTGAATATTTGAATGATAAGCGTCGCATCAGCTACATGATTGATCCAAGCCTTAAGTCTTTCAAAAACAATGAGCTTGATGTCATCTGTGAGGTTATCGAACAATGTATACAATCAGATCCAAGGCACAGACCAACGATGAAGGAGATCACCTCCAAATTGAGGGAAGTGATTTCTATCTCGCCTGATCAAGCAACCCCAAGACTTTCTCCCCTGTGGTGGGCTGAGCTTGAGATATTATCGGTGGAGGCAACTTAAACCTCTCTATGACTCTTGTTGTAAGTCAAGTCTCCCTCATACTTGTGTCAAAATCTTAAAGTTAGCTTTTCAATCGGTGCTACCCCAAATACCACCAATCCTTGCCTTTCCCATCCCTTTGTTTTTTGGTCCCATTACTGTATACTTGTAATATGACTCATTCTATTCGTTATTCCCCCTCTCTCACCCCCGTGTTATATAGTGTTTCATTCTTGGGCTAATATGTCCCAACTTGTAAAAGAAAGGTGTGTTTTGTGATCGACTTTTGTGGTGCAAAAGACTAACATAGTACTGGGATTTTAGTCCTAGTGAACATATTAATTGTGAGAATCTATTTTATTAATACCTAGGTTGTGTATACTCTCACAACTCTGATGGCCTTTGGCATCTATTGCTTTCGATTGAATTTATGAATTGCAATTGAAGCTATGGAACGAGAGCACTTCAGACAGAACTTGTACACTTGTACGTGTTAGCGTCTTGTTGGGAAAAAAGGACTTGTACTCTTCTAGATTATGAAGCCATGCTGATTCTATCTTAAGATTATATTTGAAGTATTATTACTAGGTGATCCACTAGCAGATGAAAGAATGATTCAATACACCAGTTGCATTGCTTCACATTTATGTGGGATTAGCTTGTGAAACTACTCGTGTTTCCTATTTGAATATTGTGCAACCGATAATGCTTCGCTTTCACTTCAAGAAAAAACCTTTATGCTTGTGTGTATAGATATATATCCAACAATTGGATTTATCACTTATATAAGTCCATATGCCTCAATCCAATAGGTCAAAAAATAATTGATATGCAATTTACATAAATCATCTATGCGTATAAATTAAATTCAATAATTTGTTTACAACTAATTTGATGATAAATTGAAGGGTAACCTCGAATTAGTCTCCAAACTTTAATCATATCTCTAAAAGAAGGTAATAATGACACAGAATCTAACAGGATGACAGGATTTATTAATTTTAAAAAACTCCTAAAACACACAACAAAATTATGTCTATTGAGGAACTACCAAAACTCCTCAAAGTTTATTATTTCAACGTACATCTCTACCAAAAGTCTATTAAATTTTTATTTTTTATATAGAAAACTAGAAAACCTAATTTTACTAAACATGTTAATTAAATAAATAAAATGAAATGAAATATTTAGATTCCTACTAAAGCACTGGCCTGATTTAAAAATTAACTAAACCTTAGAAAATCCTAACAATTCAGTAAATATTACCATAAAAATAATTAAACAAAAAATAATGAAAATTTGTGTCCCATATCAGCTGATGAAACACTAAATATTCGATCCAAACACTTTTTAACGCTTTTTTCTATATTAAAAAGATAGAAAGAATTGTGCTTTTCTATTTTCTACCCTAGTTATACTTGTAATGGCAATCTCCCTTGATTATAAAATCAAAACCTAATTCTTAACTTATTATTACAATACAACTTTATCTCCTTGTATCATTTTCAAATTCATACATGCTTCATCTACTTTCCTAGCCTTTTAGCATTCCCTTAATTTTGATTTTTATATATATATATATATATATATATAACTACAATTAAAAGAAGAAGAAGAAAAAGAGGTTTTATACATTTGAACAAATAAAAGAGGATAGTTTTGACAAAAAAAAAAAAAAATCCCTTAAAAAATGTGTGGTGTGTGCTTGATTGTGAGAGAGAAAACAAATCTACTTCTTCTCATTTCATCAAAACAGAAATTGCACATATGCACACATGCATTTACAATTTGTTTCTCACCTATTATACTATAGAAGAGAAGCAAAGTTAAAATTCTCAACTAACTAATATTACTCCTAACTCAGCTAACTAACAAAGCTAATAACCTTTTTAACTAAGTAAACTAACTAATTAACTAAACAAATAATTAGTTACACACAACTTATGAGGTGTACACGTAAGCGGGAGAAGCCATATTAAACCAAAGGATAACTTGCTTTGAATACTCCCTCTCAAGAGGAGCATTTATATCAATCATACTTATCTTGCCCAAAAGAAACTAGAAACATGCAGGTTGCAAAGGCTTGGTGAACAAGTCGGCAAGTCGAAGATTAGAGGATAGGTATTCGGGTTTCACTATATCCCAACAACCACTTTCTCTCTAATGAAATGACAATCCATTTCAATGTGTTTCGTCCTTATAAAAAATGAATTTTTACTTATGTGAATGGCTAATTGATTATCACATTTAAGCAAATCTCTAGTTTTGCCCTCAAACCTCAAATTTGCTAATAATTATAGCTTCAACAGAACTTCGGCAACTAGAGACTATTTCTTGGACTTCCAAGTCGATTAAAGAATGCCTTCGAAAAATGCAATAACCATTGATTGACCTTTTTGAATCTTTGCAACCTATCCGATTCATCGCATGTATAAGTTTAAAACTAAATATCAAAATGAAAGGAAAATAACAAACCTCGTCCAAGTGTTGTCTTCATATATTTTAACACCCTAAAAGTCGCTTGCAAATAAATTCTATTGGTTTATCCATAAACTAAGATAACACTTGAGTAGCATAAAATATATTAAGCCTCGGTAAAAGTTATATACATAAGTTTTCCCACAAGTTGTTTATGAACAATTAGCTTGTCAAGGAAATTAGATTAAGCTTGCACAAGCTTACTCGTTTGGATCCATTGGAGTATAAATTGGTTTAACACCCAACATTTCATGCTCTGTTAAGATCAAGGATATATTTTCTTTGACATGAAGAGATTCATTTCAAAGATCTTGCAACTTCAATGCTAAGGAAAATTTCAATTGTCCCAAATCGTTCATCTTAAACCGAGAATTTTAATACTTCCTAAACTCATCAATAGTTTCATTAGAATTACTTGTAACTATTATATCATTAACATAAACAAGTAAAGCAAGAAAAATATTAGAAGATATTCTTTTGCTAAACAAAGAATAATCTGTTTTAGACTCGTGAAAATCCAAAAGCTAATAAAGCAAGTAGTAAGCTTGTGATTCCATTGTCTTGATGCCTACTTCAAACCATACAAGGACTTGTGAAGTGTACAAATCAGCTTAGTACATGCAGGATACTCCCCTAGACTTGATAACTAAGAAAATGGTCCATGTAAACTGTCTCTTCTAAATCACCATTAAGAAATGCATTATTTACGTCCATTTGGGATAAACACCAATACCGAGTTACTGCAAGAGCCAAAAAAAGTGAACTCTAGTTTGTTTAACCACAAGACTAAAAGTTTCTTAAAAGTCATAACCCTTTTGTTGACTATAGCCCTTTGTTATCAATCTAGCTTTATATCTTTCAATAGAGCCTTTAGCATGAAGTTTAACTTTATAAACCCATTTATAGCCTACCGAATGTTGATCACGAGGAAGAGAAACAACGATCCAATTATGATTGTGCTCAAGTCTAGTAAGTTTTGCTTTCATGGCATCTTGCTAGTGAACAAAATGTACAACCCGATCATATGCATGAGGCTCAACAAGGTAGAAAAGAGAACTAATAAAAAAAGTACGTAAAGGTGACAAAAGAGAAGTAGAGACATGATTTTAAATGGGGTTTGTAGCAGAGTAACATATAGATGCATTAGTAAAAGGAAAAGTTGTTTGATAATCAACCAAGTAACTAAGAAGTTTGCTAATACGATTGTTTTTCCTAACATGAATAGGAAGAATATAAGGATTTGATGAAGGAATGTCTAGGGATAAAGGAGGACAAGAGTTTGTGAAGGTTTGTTTTGTATCTAAAATAGAAGAATGATCATGAAGATGTGTGGGTACAAAAGTGATATCGTGTGTTTTAACAATTGAACTAAAATTCTTCGATGATGAATGAGAAATGACATTAGGAATAGTAGAGAAAGTATCATTATAAATGATATTAGGAACATGATGTAAAGTATTAGAATGAGAAAAAGGGAAAACATTTTCATGGAATGTAAAATCTATGAAAAAAAAAAGAAAATTTTAGAATTCGGATCATAAAGCTTTTATGCTTTCATTCCACCAAAATAACCAATGAATACACACTATCTAGCTTAAGAGTCAAATTTCTTTTTGCTATGAGAAAAAGTAAAAGCAAAGCAAAGACAATATCAAATGAAGATAAGAAGGTGGCTTATGAAATAAAAATTTGTAAAGAGTTTTGTTATATAGAATAGGAGTTGGAATCTTATTTATCAAGCATCTTATAGTTAAAACTGCATCTCCCCAAAAACTAATTAGTAAACAAGACTAGAATAACAAAGGTGTAGCAATGAGAGAAGATGTTGGTGTTTTCCGTCAATAACACCATTTTGTTGAGGTGTAGCTACACATGAGAATTTATGTACTATACCTTTGGTGGAAAAGGAACCAATGAGATTGAATTCTAAATCATTTTTTGATCTTATTTGTTTAATGAAAAAAACTAAATTGATTTTTAATAAGATTGAAGAAACTTGGAATGATAGATGTAATATTTGATTTTGATTTCAACGAAATAACCATGTCATTCTAATAGAACCATCCACAATAGTAAGAAAATAATGATATTTTTCATAAATTAGTTGTGAATAAAGTTCGCATATATCAATATGAATAAGTTGAAAAGGGATAATAGTGTTTGAGGAATGAATAGGAAAGAAAAGTCTTTTATGTTTGGCCATTGAACGTGCAATACAAGGATTTTTATTAAAATTTACAATATTATGTATATTAGAACATATTTAATGAATAACATTCCCAAAGAATAGAAGAATGGAAACAAAAAAGACAAGAAGTCAACATGTTACTCTTCGTGGCTACAAGTATTCTTCATTTTCTATTGTTTTGGTTATTATAACTTTTTATCGTATATGCCCTTGGCTGAATCAATCATTTGTCGTTTTTTTTTTTTTTTTTTTTACACACAACAATCAAGTCAAAAATAGCAAAACAAAAATAGGTCTGCTAGACCTAGGGATGGTAATTAACACATGTCATTCAATTCAATTTTTTTACTATATT